GCCCCCTCGGGCACCGGCTGCGGCCCGCTCTCCCTCCCTGCCGTGCGTGCCAGCTGCCGCCGGAGGGCAGGGTGCAGGTGGTGCCCGGCGCTGCGATGCAAATGCTGGGCCCGGGCAGCGATGTGTTTTGACTCTCTGCTTGGCTGAGAACAAACTTCCTGTCCAGGGAATCCGGGCAGCCACGGTCAGTCTCCACCCTCTCCCCTCCAGAGTCCTTCGAGCACCGGATGTTCTCCAGCATGGCGCTGAGCGAGGACTCTGACGCAAGCCCGTCCATGGACATGAGCCTCTCGCACCTCTCCATGCTGCCGCACCTGGCGGACCTCGTCAGCTACAGCATCCAGAAAGTGATTGGCTTTGCCAAAATGATCCCAGGCTTCCGGTAAGGACGGGCTGGTGGCCTGGAGCCTGGCTGGCGGCGCGTGGCACGGTGGTCGAAATCGCCCGTGTCTCCTGCTCGGTCCTTTCCCTCTGCTTGGCTCGTCTCCGCTGCTGCCTCCTCCAAGTGCTGGGCAGGTGTTAGGGCTAAGGGAGGTGTCACTGATTTTCCCCCCCCCTCGGTGTGCAGGGACCTGATGGCCGAGGACCAGATCGCCTTACTGAAGTCCAGCGCCATCGAAATCATCATGCTCCGCTCCAACCAGTCGTTTTCCCTGGAAGACATGGCGTGGTCCTGCGGGGGCAACGAATTCAAGTACCAAGTCACGGACGTCACCCAAGGTAAATGAGCTCCGGCTACCGCTGAGCCCAGGGCCGCTTGGGGAAGGTGGGTTCCGATTTCCCCGGACCCGACCCTTCACGCAGATTCTTCCAATGTAACGCTGCTTTGGGGTGAAAACTGAGATCCAGGCTGAGGTAAGTGGTGGGAGCTGGGACGGGGTGCCGGCACATGGCTCATCCCTGCACAGCGCCCCAGCACCAGGCCCTCCCTCCATGGACCCCCAGCGCATGCACGCGGAACAGCCTCGCTGGCCATCTGCGAATAACACCCCTTGGGGGACTGACGGCGCAGGAGCCTCTCCGGCTGGTGGAACGATTCTCTGCCAAAGTCACCCAGCTGCTCTTCCGCCCTGCATGGGACAGGGCATCTTATCTGGCCCGTTCTCAGTCTCCCACCCCCAAAGGAACTGGAGATCAGGGATTTTAAGCGTTCCCGCCGACGGACTAAAGTAGAGTCTGATTTGATGTTGCTACGTCCCAGAAGAGCTCCCAGTCCGAACGGAGCTCTGGGACACGCGCCTGCCAGGAGTCCTCAGGAACTCCATCTGCTTAATGTATCTAAGGCTAGGTCTAGACTGCGGCGCTTTGCCGGGATACAGGAGGCACCCTGGAAAACACCCTGGAAAAACTGTCAAAGTGGACGCGCTCTTTTGCCAGCCCTGTGAACCTCATTTTACGAGGGAGAAGATGTCGAAAGAGGACTTGCTCCCGAAATGTGGCGCTGTGTAGACGCTCCGAATTTCGGAAAAGCCTTTCGACAGTAAAGCGGAAAAAGATACACAGATTGTGCACCGCAAACTGCGTTTCTTTTTCCGACTTACCCTGTGAGGCAACGGGCAGTCTAGACGTACCTGTGCCCAGAGAGTGGATCTGATCGAGGGGAAGGCTTTCTCGCGATGGGAGTGTCTGCCTTAGGGCAGTGGTGTGTTCTGTAATTAGCTTCCCCAGGCCAGTAACGAATGGGACTCCTGGACCACTAGACACGGCCCCGCAGACCCACCAGTCTGTCGCGCACCCGGACGCTAGACACGGCCCCTCAGACTCACCGGTCTGTCTCGCACCCGGACGCTAGACACGGCCCCTCAGACTCACCGGTTTGTCTCGCACCCGGACGCGAGACCCGGCTCCG